CCCCAAAAACACCCCAAAATCACCCCAAAATCACCCCAGAACGTGGCACCTTCAGCAGGCACCAAAACCCACCAAAATCACCCCAAAATCAGCCCAAAATCACACCAAAACCACCCCAAAACCACTCCAAAACCACCCCAGAACATGGCCACCTTCAGCAGGCACCAAAACCCACCAAAATCACCCCAAAATCACCCCAAAACAGCCCAAAATCACCCCAAAATCACCTCAAAAACATCCCCATCCCACAGACCCAACAAAATCCACCAAAAACTCACCAAAATCACCCCAAAACCACCCCAAAAACATCCCAAAATCACCCCAGAATGTGGCCACCTTCAGCAGGCACTTGTTGGCTGAGCTGGGACAGAAACAGCCCCAAATCACCCCAAAATCACCCCAAAACATCCCCATCCCACAGACCCATCAAAATCCACCCAAAACACACCCAAATCCACCAAAAACCCACATCAAATTACCCCAAAACCCCACCAAAATCACCCAAAGTCCACCCAAATCCACCCAAAAATCCATTCAAATTCCCATCCCAACCCCCCCCATCCAACCACCCAAATCCCAGGATTTGAGAGGATCCCCCAGAGTAGGGACTGGGAAGAGGGAATCCCACGATTTGGGGGGTCCCCTGGGATTCAGGGCTTCCCAGGATTTGGGGTTCCTGGGATTTGGGGATTCGGATTCCCGGGATTCAAGAATTCCCAAAATTTGGGGATTTGGGTTCTCGGGATTCGGGTTCCCGGGACTTGGGACTCCTGGGATTTGGGGCTCCCAGGATCTGAGGATTCAGGAATTCCCAGGATTTGGGGGTTCAGGAATTCCTGGGATTCAGGGTTCCCAGGACTCAGGATTCCCAGCATTTGGGGCTCCTGGAATTCTGGGCTCCTGGGATTTGGGGATTTGGGAATTCCCGGGATTGGGAGTTCCCAGGATTTGGGGATTGGGGGTTCCCAGGATTCAGGAATTCCCGGGATTTGGGAATTCGGAAATTCCCAGGATTTGGGGATTGGGGGTTCCCGGGATTGGGGAATTCCCAGGATTTGGTACCTGTTGGATTCCTCCCCTTTGTAATAATCGGCCGCCTGCTCGTAGTGGGCCATGGCCTGGGGGAAAAACAGGGAAAAACAGCAGGAAAAGGGGAAAAACGGGATCAGAGACGTGGAAAACTGGATCAAGGGACACAAAACTCGGATAAAACCCCATAAAATCTGGAGAAAATTGGATAAAACCTGGATAAAACCAGATAAAACTTGGGTAAAACCCCACAAAACCCAAATAAAACCCCACAAAACCTGGATAAAACTGGATAAAACCTGGATAAAATCCCATAAAAGCTGGATAAAACCCCATAAAACCTGGATAAAAGTTGTATAACATGGGATAAAACCTGGATAAAACTGTCTAAAACCAGATTAAATCAGGATAAAACCCCATAAAACCTGGATAAAACTGGATAAAACTGGATAAAATCAGATAAAATTGGGATAAAATCTGTCTAAAACCAGACAAAACCTGGATAAAACCTGCATAAAATTCCATAAACTCTGGATAAACCCAGGAAAATCCACGAAATTCATCCCAAAATAGAAATAAAAAAGGATAAAAACAGGGAAAAACTGACAAAATTCCCGAATAAACAAAACTAATTCATAAAAAAATCCCATAAATAAAAAAATCCAGTGGAATTTTCTGGTCCTTTCTCTCCCCTCCCCCCATTCCCAATTCCTGGCTCATTCCCGGTTTCCCGCGGCTCCGACGCCTCCGCTCCGGCTGCTCCATCTGCTCCTGCTCCAGAGCCAGAATTTCGGGATGGGGGAGGCGGAATTCCCAAAAAACCACCCAAAATTCCTCCTTTTCCACCAGGATTTGGGGATTTGGGGGAGGAATTCCTGGAAAACCACCCAAAAATCCCCTTTTCCACCAGGATTTGGGGGAGGAATTCCCGGAAAACCACCCAAAATTCCCCCTTTTCCACCAGGATTTGGGGATGGGAGAGATGAAATTCCTGGAAAACCACCCAAAATTTCCCATTTTCTGCCCTAATTTTGGGATGGGGGAGGCAGAATTCCCAGAAAACCACCCAAAATTCCCCCTTCTCCACCGGGATTTGGGGATTTGGGGAGGAATTCCCGGAAAACCACCCAAAATTCCCCCTTTTCCACCAGGATTTGGGGGAGGAATTCCCGGAAAATCACCCAAAAATCCCCTTTTCCACCAGGATTTGGGGGAGAAATTCCCAGAAAACCACCCAAAATTTCCCATTTTCTGCCCTAATTTTGGGAAGGGGGAGGTGGAATTCCTGGAAAACCACCCAAAATTCCCCCTTTTCCGCCCTAATTTCGGGATGGGGGAGGAAAAATTCCCAGGAAAAAAACCCCAAAACCAAACAAAATCCTTCCTTTTTCCACTTGGGATTCTGGGATGTGGGAGACAAGAATTCCCAAAGATTTGGGAAGTGACCTCGGAGCCGCTCCCGAGATCCCTGAGGGACAGAATTCCCGGAATTCCTGGGAATCTCCCTCTCTCCCAAACTCAACTTTCCTTAAAAATCAACCCCATTTCTCCCCCAGGGGAGCAAAAATCCCGGGATTTGGGGGCAATTCCAATAGGGAAAAACCCCAAACTGGGATCTGGGAGCTGTGGGAGGTTCCTGGAATCCCTGGAATTCCCGGAATTCCTGGGAATCTCCCCCTCTCCCAAACCTCACTTCCCTCCAAACCAACCTCATTTCTCCCCCAGGAAAGCAAAAATCCCGGGATTTGGGGCAATTCCAACCAGGAAAACCCCTAAATTGGGATTTAGGAGCTGAGAGGTCCCCAGAATTCCCAGAATTCCTGGAATTCCGGGTGTTTTTTCCCACCTTCTCGACATCAACCAGGTCCCCCTCGTAGATCTCGGCGATGGCCACGTGGTGTTTGGCGGCGATGGTGAAACGGCCCTGCCGGAAAACCGGGATCATCCCACCGGAAAAACCCATCCCAAGGGATCCATCCCACCCCGGAGCCTCCAGAACCACCCCCAAGACCCCCCAAATTCCCAAAATCCCGATTCCAGGGGGGAATTCCCAGCGATTCCCACCCCCGGGGTTGTGTCTCCGCTCAACCCAAGGCGGAATTCCCGGTGGGAATTCCGTGGGAATACCGGGAGTGGGATCTCACCATGTCCGTGTAGATCTCGATGGCGCGCAGGAGGCAGTTGATGGCCTCTGGAAAACACGGAAAAGCGGGAATGGGGGTGGGAAAACCGAGGGAAAAGGGAGGGAAAAGGGAGGGGAAGGGGAATCCCAAAACTTCGGCATCGGGAGCAAAAATTCCAGGGGTTGGAGGCCCAAAATTCCAGGGATTGGAGGCCCAAAGTCTTTGGGATCAGAGCTCAAAATTCCAGGGATTGGAGACCAAAAATTCCAAGGACTGAGGCTCCAAAGTCTTTGGGATCAGAGCCCAAAACTCTGGGATTGGAGCCCCAAACTCTTTGGGATCAGAGCCCAAAATTCCAGGGATTGGAGACCAAAAATTCCAGGGATTGGAGTCCCAAAATTCCAAGGATTGGAGCCCCAAATTCCAGGGATTGAGGCCCCAAAGTCTTTGGGATCAGAGCTCAAAATTCCAGGGATTGGAGACCAAAAATTCCAGGGATTGGAGTCCCAAAAATTCCAGGGATTGAGGCCCCAAAGTCTTTGGGATCAGAGCTCAAAATTCCAAGGATTGGAGCCTCAAAAATTCCTGGGATCGGAGCCCCAAACTCTCTGGGATCAGATCCCAAAATTACGGGGGTTGAGGCCCCAAAATCTTTGGGATCAGAGCCCCAAAATTCCAGGGATTGGACCCTCAAACTCCTTGGGATCAGAGCCCAAAATTCCAAGGATTGGACTCCAAACTTTTTGGGATCAGAGCTCAAAATTCCAGGGATTGGAGACCCAAAATTCCAAGGATTGAGGCCCCAAAATCTTTGGGATCAGAGCTCAAAATTCCAGGGATTAGAGCCACAAACTATTTGGGATCAGAGCCCAAAATTCCAGGAATTGGAGGCCCAAATCCTTTGGGATCAGAGCCTGAAATTCCAGGGATTGGAGCCCAGAATCCCAAGGATTGGAGCCCCAAAATTCCAAGGATTAGAGCCCAAAATTCCAAGGATTGGAGCCATAAATTGTTCGAGATCAGAGCCCCAAAATTCCATGGATTGGAGCCGCAGAATTCCAGGGATTGGAGCCCCAAACTCTTTGGGATCAGAGCCCAAAATTCCAGGGATTGGAACCCCAAAATTCCAGGAATTGGAGCCTCAAATTCTTCGGGATCAGACCCCAAAATCCTTGGGATGTGACTCCCCCACCCGCTCCCACATTCCCAGAATTTTGGGATCAGCCCCTCAAACCCGGGAGATGAAATTCCCAAATTTTTGGGGGTTGGGATTCCCTCCCTTCCCAAACCCTTTTCCTGCCTCCAAATCGGGGATTTTAGGAATTATTTAGGAATTTTTAACCCTTTTTCTGGGAATTCTGACCCCTCCAGCACCAAATCCTGGAGGAATTCCAGGAGATTTTTCCCTTCCCGGGTCGGAAAATCGGGATAAAAAAATTCCTGGGGGATTCTGAGCTGAAAATTCAGGGATTTTTTGTCCCATTTTCCCTGAAAATCCACCAAAAACCGGGAATATTGTTGGGAACGGGGACAGGGTTGGGATCAGAAGATCCATGGGGACGCCCCAAAGAATTCCCAATCCCAGAAATCCGCCGGGAATGCCGGAGTTTCTTTCCCCCCCCTCCCCCTCCTCGGAGCCGCCGCGGATTC